GAGGCCACCTGGCTGACTGAAGTGCAGTTCCAAACTCCGTGCTGCGACTTTTCTGCATACGCCGAGTTTGGACTGCATAGCAAACTCCGCACGGGACTGGAATTAAAAACGACAGTTCGAAATGCTTTTAGGAACTGCTTTCGTGACTGCACCCTAGTTACCCCAAGAATTAAAAATTGGTAAGTGTCCAGGCTCTGACGGGCTACCAGTAGAATTCTACCAGGAGACATGGGACTCGATGGGCCCTTTTCTCACCATAATCTGCAATAACTTGTTGACGGGGGGACAACTCCCCAAGAACTGGACTCGTGGGATAATTACACTCATGTATAAGAAAAATGACAAAAGAGAAGTTAAAAACTATAGGCCAATTTCGCTATTGAATGTCGCATATAAAATTTTGGCCAAAGGACTGGCCATCAGACTTGCCAGGTGCCTTCCAGAAATAATTGGACAGGAACAGGGAGCCTTTGTCAAAGGCCGGTCAATACATGAGAACATACTTGCGACAATACAAGCATTGGAGATTATAGGTTCGGAAAATAGGGATGTGGCAGTCCTGTTACTAGACATGGAAAAAGCTTACGATAGGGTCGGCTGGGCGTTCGTGACAACCACCCTGAGGAAGACGAAGTTCGGGGAGAATTTTATTAAAATGGTCAAAGCTATGTACTATAAAGGAACAGCAATGGTGAATGTGAATGGTTGCCTTTCAGAAGAATGGAAGTTGGAACGGTCTCTACGCCAGGGGTGCCCCTTAGCCCCATTATTGTTTGTCATCCAGTTGGATATTTTACTCTATAATATCAGGCATAACGAAACAATACTAGGACTCTCACTATCCCCTACCTTCGAGTGGAAAGGGAACACACTGGCGGACGATTTAACATTGACCTGCAAGAACACATCAGAATCGTTAAGAGAACTAAGAAAGGTCCTGGATGATTACTGCAAACTGTCTGAAGCCTCGATAAACTGGAATAAGTCTGTCTTTCTCCTCCCTGAATCCTACGACATGGCCTGCACTTGGGGCATGAGGAGGGTGAGAGAGGGTGAGACCGAAAGACTGTTGGGGATGCAAGTCTCTTTGGGCAATGCTGCAGCAGTGCAGAACAATATTTTGGAAAGAAAAGTAATTGCCAGAATAGCCAAATGGGAGAGGGGTCACCAACTTTCATTATTCGGGAGGGCGTTAGTACTTTCCTCAGCTGCGTTTTCAATACTGTGGTACGCAATGGTGCTTCACATAGTAAGTGATCAGACTTATAAAGAAGTCAAGACTTCGGCGGCAAGATATATTTGGAAAGGATTTATATCGAAGGTGGCCTGGGAGACTATAGCACACCCAAGATCGGAAGGGGGTCTAGGGGTGATAGATCCGAGGCAGCAAAACATCGCTCTTTTAGCAAAATGGCCAATTAAAGCACTTTTTGACGAAAATGATCGAAGCTGGATCAGGATGGCCGTGTACATTCTGAGTATAGAATAGGGACTGAGTGACCTGAGCAGCATGTGGTCGTGCATACTTTTTCCCTCCTTCGTCAACAAATGTCTGAAATCAAAGATCTGGAGGGATATTCTAACAGCCTGGAGTAAAATTCTTCCACGAAAGATTGGTGTCCCCCTAACAAGAGCACAGGTACTAGATCAGGTGCTATTTGACAATGAATCAATAAGGCAAGAGGATGGCGCTGTGTTCTCGGCAGGAGAGGCAGCAGGAGAGTTTGGGGGGAGTTGGATAAAGAAAGGGGTACTAAAGATTAAACATATATGGGACGAAGAGACACAGAACTGGTATCCAACCTCTTACCTCAGATCAAAATTGCCTAGGCTGCATAGGGTGGAGAGGCACTACGAGGCCCTAAAGAGGGCGATTCCAGGACAGTGGAAGACCCTGCTACGGGAAAGGGAGATCCACAAAAAAGACAGCTGGTGCAGGGCTCCTACGCAAGAAGAAAAGTTTTGGCGGATTATGGAAGCGGAAGACCAACAAGGACAACGCATCCAAGAATGGAAACCGATTAATGGGTCACAGAAAACGCAGATTTGGGCAAGGTCTTTACAAAAGGTTGATGAAAGAAGAGAGTATATTGATCAAGAGTTAGAGGAAGCTCGAGTTTGGGTCAAGATGGACGGGAAAGGAAAAGACGTATGTCAAGGGGGGGTGGTAAGATCCAAATGTAGAGTAGATCCCTTCTACTACGGTTGGGGGACAGACGATAAGGTAGATTCACTGATACCTATATCACACTATACAACCAAGGTAGGGAGAGATTTGATGAGACAGAGTTACAAAATCCCCAGGAACAGTGGCCCCAAAAAGGTGGGACGAGTACTGTCCGAGCCTGATGTCCTGGGAGGACTTGAGCAGGTTGTGGAATCAACTTAAAAAAATGACAAATCAAAAGACCGCGTCCTTACTGTGGACACAATCACTGCAGGTGGTCGCATCGACCACCTGGTTGATTTCTAGAAGAATGGAGGTGTCAGCGGTATGTTCACGTTGTCAATGGGCATGGGAAACTCAGGCTCATCTTTGGATACATTGTCCTTTCTCGATAAGATGTTGGCAGTGGTGGAGGAGACTCTGGAGGGCTATGGCGGGAACCACAGAAAGAATGGGGTTTGACTGGTCGGATTCATGGATTCTTACTGGGAAGGCAACAAAGCTGAAGACCTTCAGTAAGGGGTGGGGATATGTAGCACATGCATGCAGAGGGGCAGTGATGAGCGTACTATGGCAAGCCAGGAACGAAGCAGTGTTCAGGAAGGATTTGTGGACGGAAGTACAGACTCAGCAGGCAGTCAAAAGAAGGATCAGACAGACAATTAGGGCAGACTGGGAAAGGAAAGGGAAATTATGGTTCAGGAACACGTGGGCCGTAGATAACCAGATGGTGCAGCTCTCTTCAGATTTAAAAATGGAGATTGGTCCCTGGCTAAGGTAGGCACGGACTACAGGTTGGGATGTCTTATAGATGACGGATACTTGGTATAGGGCTTCAGTAGCCCGTTCGGTCCCGGAGGAGCATTACAGTAGGTTACTTTTGAACTGAGCCAAGATTTTAGATATTCCGGAGTAGTTGAGTAGGGTCGATTTAGACCGCAGTTACGAATGCTGGCTTAATTGCTAGGTGACTTAGTAGACAGAACAGGATTGGAGGGAAGAGGTGTAGTAATTGGCCGAAGGATGGGAATGGTTACAGCTTTCTCCTCGGTCATTCCTTTTTTGAGCTTCAATGTTGAAGTTTTGAGAAGTAGCTTTCGCTGTGGCCGAGTGGCCCGGGGACGCTGGACCCGGTTTCCAGCAGGGTGACTTGATCTTCCGGGTTTGAATTGTGAGGTCCCCGGCCTCGACATCTGTTTTGAAATAAAAGTGATAACTTCTATTAAAAAAAAAAAAAAAAAAAAAAAAAAAAAAAA